CCATTACACAAACATGAAAGCAGGTAAAACATCAATGTACATAAAATAAATTATTAAAAAAGAAATATTAGGCAGTAGCCAGGAATTAAAGTGATGAATAGAGGCCTGCAATATTATGAAATGATGAATGTACTCATTATAAACATGATCAAAGGATAATCTACTTAAGAGTAACTGTCAGGTTATCATTGTGCAGGGATCCTTGCAAAATTCATCAAAAATCACATTTATTTATTGCATGTGTGTTTATGTGCATCCATGCATATGCACACATGCCATGACGCGAGTGCGGGGTTGGCTGTCTCCTCCTGCCATGTGGGTCTCAGCTCCTGAGATCAAGTTGTCAGGTTTGGTGGTAAGCACATCTTGCTTGCCCTCCTTACAAACCCTGCCAGTGGGCTTCGCATATTTCTTAACTTGGGCTCTGCTGCAAGTGGCAGATTCCCTTCTTCCCTAGACACCAGTTCCTGTTTGCTTTTCCTTCAGACACCCCCTACTAAGAGGAGTACTCTGCTCCAGAGAGGTGAGTGGTAGCATGTTGTTGAAAACCCCTGTGACACCATCTTTACAAAGAGGCAACATGATTACAGTGTAATTCTAAGTGACCATGACTCGTGTTCACACAAGGAGACAAAGGCCATCACAATCCACTAGAGAAAAAAGCACAACAATGCCACAACTTAGCAGCGATGGGTAGACATCTGAGACAAAAAGGATGCGCAAGTAGGCACACAGCAAGCACAGCTCTGGACTACACGATCTCACCACAGCGGCCAGTAGGCACACAGCACAGCTCTGGACTACACGATCTCACCACAGCAGCGGTCATAGCCAACTTGCTTCCTTTCCGTTCCACACACACTTTCTCTGACTGTCCTACCGCCATAGCAGTTCCTGGTGGGATGGTCAACTTCCCAGATAAGTGCTCTGCTGGCTTTGGATAGGGTTTAAATGAGACTTGTCTCCCAAAGGAACACGTGTTTGAACATTGGTCTCCAGCTGGTAGAGCCATTGTGGGACATTATAGAACCTTTGGGAGGTGGGGCTTAGTTGGAAGAAGGTGCTGATTGGAGGTGGGCTCCTCATGTCACTCTCTCTGCTTCCTGTCTGGCTACAGTATGGTAGCTGCTGCATACTTTCTGTGCCACAGGGAGCTCCATCAGTCCTCATGCCTTTTCACCATGCTGCAGGCCTTCAAATCCGTTAGTTCGGATAATCCTTCCCACAGGTTGCTTCTGTCACGTTTGTTTTGTGACAGTGATGAGAATTGTAACTAATACAGCTGTATCGGGGAACTTACCACCACTTTAGTGACTGGGTGGGATGACTACTAGACACAAGGCCATCACTCTCCCAGCTCTAACTATCCAAGGCAGAGCTCTGACTTCACTCTATGGAAGCACTTGAATTTAGGCCACATTAAAGCTCCTGATTGAAAATTATAAGCTGAAGCCACATCTAACAGCCATGATAGTCCCTGGTAACCCCCTCCCCCAAATCTAACAGTCACGATAGTCTCTGGGTGTCGCCCCCCCCATACACACTAAAAATGGAAAATTCATTTCATGGTCACAGAACTGATAATTTAAAATATCTAGACTTTCCTTACAAAGTAGATGCTTTTTCAGGTGTTTATAACAAATCCTTTATGTTTATCATGTTTTATAAACACTGGGAATGATGAGAAGAGTTTCTTATGTCATGAGAAATTACAGCATGGATTAGAGGCCTAGGGCTTTCTTTGTGACATTTGCTTTTAGTTTCAAATTTAGGTCTGATGGTTTTCTTTTAGAAATGAGGTCAAGATAGGATGACAGCATAGTCATTTTCTTTTTAAATTATTGTAAGTACCATTAAGATACTTACATCATTATAAAAATGCTGCTAAATCTTATGCAAATTATTTGAAACAGAGTAATGAAACAAACCTTGTACTTTATAAAAACTGTGTACATGAATGAAAAATATCTTGATCGCTATCTTGTTTACTAATTCCAGTGACAGTGACGAAGATAAGACAGATTGCAGTGATCTTTGAGGCAGTCAGTTGTAGTGCCCACCAGAGTCACAATGCAATCTTGCAAACTGACCTGCATTCTTGTTAGAAGACCCTAGGAGCCCATTCCACATCAGGGATGTGCCAAATGACCTCTAAGGCTCCTCTCCATGAATACCTATGAAAAGTACTCGCCGATTGGGTAAGAAGAAATTCTGAGATAACCAAAGTTGATCACAAGAAGCATAGGATTTGGGGCAATACACCGAAACACGAAACAGGACAAAACAACATTAACACCCCCCACCCCATAAAAAGCTCTCAATCTTCCTTAGTAGGCAAGGCTCCAGTCAGAGGCATGATTGGACTTCTTCTTCTTCTTTTTTTTTTTTTTTTTTTTTTGGTTTTTACGAGACAGTGTTTCTCTGTATTGTTTTGGAGGCTATCGGTCCAGCCCGGCCTCGAACTCACAGAGATCCGCCTGCCTCTGCCTCCCGAGTGCTGGGATTAAAGGCGTGTGCCACCACCGCCCGGCTCATGATTGGACTTTTTAATATTGACATTCCTGTTCATCTGTTACCAGCCACAAAATAGCAACAATAATAAAAACTAAGCGATGTTAGTTTCCACCTCCAGATTTGGTTGCATAAGTGACCCTGGGTGTTATTGCCTTGATGAGCACACCAGTCAAGCAACAAACATTTGAGCCACTGCAAGCCAGGCAGGATCAAAGTTCAATAGGAAACACTCTTGTTCTTGATACATATCAATATCGATCATATCAAACATATTGTTGAGTTCCGACATCTATAGGTGTCTAGAGCTTGCTAGGAAGGGTGCCCTGTACTTGTTATTTACATATTTATTGAAGATCCTCTGACGTGAATATAAGGTTTGAGGACCTCAAGTCATCAAGAATTCTGCAAATATTCTAGAAGGTCTCTGGAAAGTTCTGTAGAAGCATAGCACAGTCTGGTCCTACGGTATCTGGGAAGCCAAAGTGGGGAATCCTCTCTTGGGAAACCTCTGTAGCAGCAAGGACGCTTTGTGGGCAGCCAATCAAATGTCTGGGATGATCTAGTGTCAATGCTCATGCTGATTACATCCTGGCTCCAATCTTTTGAACTACCCTTCATGCACCCTACTCAAGCCACCCAAGCAACGCCACAGAACTCGTGTCCTTAGCCATGTCACTGTCCACAGCTCCACTCTTGCTTTCTCTGGGATGCCCCCCCCCACCTCTCCTCTCTTCTAAAAAAATGTGGTTTTTTTTGAGACAGAGTTTCTATGTATAACTTCAGCTATCTTGGAACTTGCTCTGTAAACCAGACTGGCTTTGAACTCACAGAGTTCCACCTGCCTCTGCCTTCTGGATGCTGGGATTAAAGACTTGAGCCACGACCACCTGGTTTCTCTGCTCTTCTAATTCATGCATAGTCTCTGATCACATTTAAAACGCCATTATCTCTGCTGAGGCTTCTCTCATTCATCTCCCACTAGGAGTTTCTCTTTGTGCTCCAAATTGTCTCTTTGATTTTCCTCATCTTTTAACTTGGCCATCAGCATCTCTTTTCATTTGTTACCTTCTTCTAAACTGAATAGTACTGGGGCCACAGTCCTGCTCTTCCTGACATTTGTATTTCTGGCAGCTGTCTCAGTAACTTCATAGATTTCAAGGTGGATTTTCTATAGCTCTAGGGTCTCAGTGAGGTGTCCAAAGACCAGTTAATGGAGGAAGCATGTGGGAATGGGTGCATTTTTATTCCTCTGTTAAAAATATTTATTTAAAAGAAACACAAAAGAGTATTTTGTTTGTTTTCGTGTGTGTGTGTGTGTGTGTGTGTGTGTGTGTGTGTGTGTGTGTGTGTGTGTGTGTGTATGAGATCTCCTGGAGCTGGAGTTACCGGAAGTTCTGAGCTGTTTGACATTGGTGCTGGGATCTGAACTCAGGTCCTATGCAAGAGCAGTGAGTGATCTTAACCTCTGAGTCCTCTCTCCTGTAAAAAGGGATTCTGCTAGATAGGAAAAAAAAAAACCACTGTAATAGACGTCAAATGCATGGAGAGAGGGAACATTGGTGCCTCTATGGCTTTCTCCTCCAGAAAGAAAGAGATGCAAGGTGAACTGGAGCAGCAGAAAGGCACAGTGGCTCTCAACCAAGGAAGGAGGTCAGAAGACAAAAGCGGGGTCCTTCCTCCTGTGGGGATTGACTTTTGATTTGGGGTTGCTGGGGACTGAACCCTGAGCCACATGCATGCTAAGCATGGGTTCCAGCACCGAAGTTACCACCCCAGCCCCTGAACCAACCTTTGACAGTAAGACTTGGCAGGCACCTCATCAAGCTCTGAATTCCACTGCACAGAAGGAGGATGTCAGGGCACCTGGCTCTGCGGCCTGTGTGGACACCTGGGACCGTCCCCACATGCTGATCTCAGTGTGACTCCAGGGACAGGAGAGCATCTTTGGAGACACCGAGGCCTCCCGTTTCTCCTGTTTCCTGTCTCAAGCACACAGGGTGCGCTGCCGTCCCTTCAGACACAGCCCCGGTCTCTACCAGGTGAGAGATCCAGTTCCTCCGGCTCCCTCTTTCCTCCTCTGCCACACCCACTTTGTGTGTGAATACTGCTGGCCTACCTGCAAACCATATCCTCAACCTCATTTCTTCTGGTCACCCATCACTGACAGTTCTACAGTTTAGACACTGTGACCTGTACCTGTCACGACTGCCCCTTTCCTGGCCACCCAGCATCCCGTGTCTCTTCCCTGTAATTTGTTTGCTAGGCAAAAACCAAGTCAAGTTTAAAGATCTGCTGCTAGACGCTCTCAGAGTTTCTGACTTAACATAGTACAGGCCTGTCACCTGCCTACTTGAGTAGCGCCCACATTTTACTTTAAATCAAGTGACGATGTTTAATTGGGAATTTGTTTTTTAAAGCAAGCAAACGAGTTGAAGACCGGGCAGAGACAGAAAGACTGTCACACCATTCACACAGAAGTGACTTACAGCTTCAGATTTGGGAGGCACTGGAGGAGGAGGTAGGGCGATTTCTGAAGACTTCAGGGTGGCTCCCAGGGTCGCAGGGGCAGGAGGAGAAGAAGTTGCACACTTGGATTGCGTGGAGCCCCTCAAGGGGTCACACCTGCTCTTCTCACTGAGGGAGCGCGTGAGAGGCTGGTGGCTGGGCCTGCCTTCCTCCAGCCACAGCTCTTCATAGGGAACTTCTGACTTCCCTGGGATGCCCAGTGACTCTTCATTAGCTTCTGGGAAAAGGTAGTCGCTCCCACTGTCACCAGAGTCTTGATAGGGAAGGATGTCATGGGGAAAGGGAGCCCACTCTCCCCCAAGGTCCCTGCAGCCATGAAGGTTCACCTCACTGTTGCCATGAAGATTGTTGCCGTACACACAGACTGAGAGCCGGTGGAAGGACTGGGTGAGCTCATCTCGGGCATAGCTGAGGGAATTGGGTAAATGGCTGTGGCCAGAGCAACGGCCCTTTTTGGGGCTCTTACAGTCTTCATTCCAGTCCGTTTTCACGTCACGAACAGCCCGTGAATACTCATCAATGTCAAACTGCTCTTGGCAAATACCAAGCCAGTGATGGACGAGGGTTTCCGGCCACGCCTCTCCCTTCACCAGGTGTTCCGGGAGGCTGAACTTGGGGACGGTCAGGTGCAAGGGGAAGTGCGTGGGGAGGACCTTGTTGTTCCGGAGGACACAGCAGACCACCACGGTCTTGGTTTGGATGTTCACAAACTTGTAGCGATGTCCCTCTCGGATGAAGTGGAGGTCATAAGGGTTTCTGGGTGGGGGGCTGGGCACTGTCACATTCACAGGGAGCCTAGTCTTCTCCACGATGTTTCGGATGGTGTGCTCCCCTTCCTGCATCTGAAGCTCCAGGGGACTTCGGGTGCTAAACCTGCCCTTGCATTGGAATGGAAGGCTGATACTTTCATTGGTCCGGTGATTCATGCAAATGAGGCAGGGCATTTTGCCTTTCCCCAGCTTGCTGATGGAGTTGAGCTTCCCAATTTTTTTGAAAATTGTGTTGAGTCGAGACTTCTCCTTGAAGGTCTTTGCATAAAGGATTTCAGCCTGCCCCATCAGGGTGAGTTCATCCCCAGTACACAGAGTGATGTTGTAAACCTCCGTGTCTTCATTGCATTCACCGGACGCAACCTATGACATGATAAAACGAATTTCACATTAGTGAAGATACACACACACACACACACACACACACACACACACACACACACACACAGGTGAATGCTCTGCTTCACTTTAATTCTAAGTGTGTACGATTCATTTTTATTTACGTGGCTGAGTTTTTCTATTTGTCACATGTATTTTACTTTGGAAGAAACCCGAGTGAATGCTGCAGAAAGCTTTGTTTTAAGAAAACTTTTTATTTATTCTCTGACAGTTTCATACATATCATAATGTAGTTTGATCAGAATCACCTCAGTTTTCCTCTCTCAGCCCATACCCTCTCTCTAGAACCGTTCTTCTTCTCAATATGTTCTCTCCTACTTTCTTGTTTTTTTTTTAATTTTTAAAATAATCAACCGAGTTAACTGGGTTTACTCTCATGTGAATGGGTATGGAGTTATTTACAGGATCATGGATGGTTTGACTTATCAGTGGCCATACCCTTGAAGAAAGATGACTCCCCCCCCCCAGCCATTATCTACCAAATAGTTCCTCAGCTAAAGAAACACTCTTGTTGTAAGATAATATCAGATTAGATTTAATTTAGCTTATTATTGTTTTTTTATCTTGGTCTTTTTGAGATATGGCCTTATATAGCTGGGGCTGGCCTTAAACTCACCAGGTAGCTGAGGCTACCTCCTGCCTCTAGCTCCCAGGTGTCCAGATTAAAGGTCTGTGCTACCACTTCTGGTTTTACATGGAAACTACTAAAATAGCTTAACCCCTATAAACAGAGATATATACTTGATGGATAATTATTTTAGAATATTAACACTATCCTTTTGCTACTGTAACATTTCCTTAAACACTGTAGAAAATTTTTCTTTTTTCTTTTTAAAATTTTAACTAAAGTTTTGCCTTTTAAAAATTTCCTAATTAATAAGCTTTCAAAATTTGGAACTGAGACAAGGGATTGAAAATATTTGTGTGTGTTGTTAGGTACTTAACCTGGGCTTTGAGCAAGCTAGACAAGTGGTCTACCATCAAGCTATACACCAAATCCCTAAAATGCTTTAGTTCTCCTTTAAAAAATATAATGAAAAGTATGCATGTTCATTGGAAGAAATATAAAAAATAAAAATAACACAAACATATATTACTTTCCTATTTCATATCATGTGTCAAAAAACGTACACAAATTTAAAAAAGAAATGATATATACCAGTTATCTCAGAGATATGTGATGTGGGATGTCCTGTATGCTGCAAATCTGTGTTGCTTTTATTGGTTAATGAATAAGGCTGTTTCGACCGATGGACAAGCAGAGTTTAGTTAGGCAGGAAATCTGAACAAAGGGACTGAGAGAAGGAAGACAGAGGCAAGGAGATGCCATGTAGCCACTGCAGAAGATGCAAGGGCATCACTGGTAAGCCACGACCACGTGGAGACACACAGATGGGTTAATATTTTACGAGACAGCTAGCCAGTGAGACGCCTAAGCCAGCCAAATAATTATAAACACATATTAAGTCTCTGAGTGGTTATCTTATAAGTGACTGCAGGGGATCCAGTGGGTGGAGAGAAACCAGCCCAACTGAGACCAGGCTACACAGAGAACATTTTTCATCTACATTATATAAAGCTCTACTCTTGAGTTTTCAACTATACTGTCCATTTTCCCCTGTGTACATACTCCACTGATAATAACAATCATCTAATGTATTTATCACACAAAGATGGGCTTTTGTTTTGAGCAGTTCCCTTTTTGTTAGAAAAATGGGATTTTTTTCTCCTACATTTAGCAATAACAAATAATATTGCAGTGAAAATTTTCACAGTCCAGTGATTTCCTTAGGAAGTAGCAACAGAAACAGAGCGGTGGGGCCCCAGCTATGCGCATCTGAGGTGAAATAGTACCTTTGTTTTTCACCCATGCTGTGCTTACATATTGCCAGCCTGAAAGAATGGCCTACACCCTTAGTCTATTTACTCCTGTTTCGTGTTAAGAGCTTTGACCACCAGGAAGTTGCTCAGCTCTTCGGGTCTCATTAGTGACTCTTATTCTATGAGAAGCAAATGGTTTTCATACTGTAATGTTTTTGACTTGTCCCTCAGTTTTAATTTTGTAGCTTCTCTAAACGATTTTTTCTTTTTTTAAATAAAAATATAGACAGCATTTCCAGAATTACCTTTTGTGATTTATTCTGGGGTACTATGCTTCTAGCTCAGGAGACGGAGACCAATGGTTTTAAACCAGGGTGATTTTACAACTATCCCAGGAGATGGGTGGCAATTTCTGTAGATATTTTGGTTGCCACGACAAGGGGAGCTGCTTTTTATATCTCTGGGCACAGTCCAGGGTACTGCTAAGTATGAACACACAGAGCAGCCTGTTGCCTTGTCCCCAGAAAAGACTACCCAGTTCAAAATTCAATTGCCCTCAAGTTGGGACTTACTGGTAGAATTACCAACATTGCTATCCAGCATGTGGATGGTTTCACTTACTACTAAATTCATTTAACTGAATTCTCTTTGGTGGATTATGTAATGTAGGGATCTAACTTTATTTTTAAAGTTAATGTAGTGTCTAGTATACCTCCTAAATAATATTCCATTCACAGTTGAAGTGCCATCCTTAATATGTGTTAAAACTCACAAGGCAAATACTAAACGTGTATATACATATACCTATTTTGAGGACATATATCATAGTTACCTGCCCCACCATAGTTATACTGCTTAACTTTCTATATCTTTATAACCACTGTTTACATTTGATAACAAATCTCTTGTTATTCTGACTCAAAATCCCCTATGACGTTAACTAATACCCTTTCCTAGTTCAAGAGAGCTGTCCTCACTTTAATAGTTGTGATCCAGGGATGTGTATGTGCATGTGTGTGCATGCGTGTGTATGTGCATGCATATGTGTGTGTGTGTTGTTTTGCTAAATGAACGGGTGTCAGGCATCTCTGTGAATATTTATGTTTACACTCATGGATTAGCGTTGCTATTAGCCTTGGTCAGGGAAGCTTCTGTTTGCAATGGGCACCAGTTAATGCAGAGAATATAACTTGTCACAGTGCTGAGAATAAGTAACTGTTGAGTACTTGGCCTTAAATGCAGCATCTATATCACTCCATCCAACACTTTGGAACATTACAGAAGAGTGACGTGGGAAGACTGTAAGAACTGGAGTGTAGGGAGATCATGGCCTTGTTCTTACACCCATGAACTTCAACAGCAGTGACTACCTGTAGAAGACCTGTTCAAGACAGTGCCCATCACCTTTCCATCAGGGATGATGGAGGGGTACATATATATATATACATATACATATATATATGTATATGTATATGTATATATATATATCCCTCTCTGAGGAGCAGTTAAAAGATTACAGGGGCAAAGGAGATCATGGTCTTGGGTGGTGAAGCCACTGGCAAGTTGTCTTTGCTCAAGTAAACATTTCCTGTGATCATGCAGGGACCCTTAATCAAATGCAGTAGATCAAAACCACCAGAGTAGAAGGGGGACTTGTCACAAAGAAAGAGTCCAGTGCAAGGGAAGCAGGAAAGAATAATGGAGAGAAATCATCAAAGTATATTACATGGATGGATGACATTATTAAGGAAGAATATGGACGTGACTACTCAGTGAAGTTCAACGCGGCCATGGCCAGCGGAGGAGAGTCTAACCCGCAGCCAGCTGCCCTGGCCACTCAGAAAGCCCTGCTTCTTTTCTAAAGCGAAAGTCAGGAGGCTGTTTCACTTGTTACTCCACAAACTAATAACCCTAGAAGATATTATTTCCACTGTGATAGCTTTCCAGATGCCCGCACCCATGACTGCTCGCAGAGGATGCCTATCCAGACTGGCCTGACTGTGCAGAAATGTTGCGGTTAGCAAACAGAAGGCCGTGCACATGTGTGACTGGATATGAACAGCCCTCTGCTCAATCTCCTGAGGTCAGTGAAGGAGACGCCCCTCTTCTACGCTGCCTCTCCGCCCTCCCACTGGTCTTGTATTGCAGTGAGGAGTCATTGCCTACTGTGGTCCTTTATCACGGGTGGACAAGACGAAACTTGCGATAGAGTAAACGGTCAACTCCTGGGGCTTGCAGTCCCAGACAACAGATAGGGAACAGAGTGCCAAGACCTGAAACAAGGATGAGGGACGTGCCAAGACGGCAAAAAACTAAGGAAGGGGAGCACTGCAAGGCAGAGGGCTTACGAAAGAACTGGCCCCAGCAGCTGGAAAAGCTCTAGGTAGTGGCTGTAAGTCGAGCATCAGGAATGGCTGCTAGGGCTCCTAGGATTAGCTGTTGAGTGCTGGTCTGCTGTCATTCCAAACTACAAAGTGGCTCGCGGCAAGGGAGATCCACACCGTCTGCTTGTGATGTCCCCCCAAACAGAGCAAAAGAACCTTATGCTGACTGGTAGAGAGTCCAATAGAGTTCACTGAAATAACAGAGGATGCATTCAGCAAAGGCGAAACACAAAGGTTTATTCAGAGTATCCTCTTTTGCTTAGGAAATGGTGCTTGTATTTTCTGCTTATTCATTTAGTTACTTTTTTTTTTAAGAAAAGAGGAAACAAAGAAAAAAACCAGCAAACAGTAAGATGAGTTACTTTCCAAGAGGGGATGGCAGAAACAGGGTAGAGGAAGCAGGAGAAAGCGGGACCTGTGGCAACCTTGCTGAGCTTTGCCCTTGAGCTGCTACACATCGGAACTGGCGAACACACACTGTGTTTCCTTTAGGAAACCATGCTCTTCACAGCAGAGATGTGGAGCAGAGTCCAAGTGAGCTGACTTCATGTGCACCATAGGACAAAATAAATAAGCATGCGGATGTTTGGGAATCAGCGTTTCTGATTGGTGCAATGCCTCAGTGGGTTGAGGCACTTGCTATTAAGCCTGGTGACCTGAGTTTGATCCCTGGAAAGAGAGAAGTGACTCCTGAGGGTTTTTTCCTGATTTCCACACATGCACTGTGGTGAGCATGTCCATACACACATATAAATAACT